GCATGAGGCACCTCTAAAAGCATGTTAGAGCTGCTCTGCTGAGGGAGAAAGAGGGGGGTCCCAGGCCAGTGTCTCTGGAGAACTTGGGGCTTGGCGAGATGCTCCCTGTCACCACTTCCCAGAAAAGGACATGTTCCTTCTCAGGGCACCTCCGCTGCTGGCTTGTCAGCCTGTCACCAGCAGACTTTCCCAGAAGCCAGGACCCAGGGGACAAGTGCCCAAACCCCTGGGGACTCCCGCTGGGCTGGTTGGCTGTGGCTGCCCGGGTCTTGGAGCCCCCTCATGTGGTGTGATGCTACGGAGGGGGCAGTTCCTTCTATCCCACCTTGCCCCAGCAGTTCCCGCTATCCCCACATCAGGTCTGCCAGGAACCCAGCATCTCTCTTCAGAGCAGGGGGAGAACCCAGCAGCCGCTGTGCTTGACAAAGCCCAGGCAGCCGTGCTGTGAAGTCAGGTCACACAGGCAAATGCTGAAGTGTGCGGCTGTGTGACGGTTATGTCAGAAGGTTTACCCCTTCCTGCAGGACAACTTCCCAGATGCTAGTCTGAAACAAACGTAGAGTCTTCTCAAGCCTCCCTTGCCTTAGATGTTTCACACATGCTTCACCTTGTTGACAGAGAATGAGTCCTTCTGGAACATGCCATCAGCTTCAGAAAGGAGGGCAGAAGGGAAGAGAAGGACCAAGAAGAGAAGAGGGATCAGAGGAAGAAATCTCAAAGCCTGAAGACTTAAAGGCCAGGAGAAATAAATGGGAATGAGACAAAGTCCAGATCCCGGGAGAGGGAGGGACCTCTCAGTACGTGCAGAAGCATCTCAGGATCCTTAGCTGGGGAGCCTCTTCCTGGCCCCTTGCTGGGTCAGGACCTCCTTCCCAGGCTGCCTTCCCAGCCCAGCTGTCAACCCCAGTGCTGCTTTAGAAAGCTGTCAGAGCTGGCCCAGGGCTGCGGGGCCATCTGTGCCCACACACAGGGGACAGCTCCCTCCCAGCACACACAAACGAGCCTTGGTGTCCTTGGAAAGGTTTGTTCCTGCCTGGGAGGACAATCAGGACACTGTCCATGAGCTCCAACATTTCCATGGCACTGCCAGGAGTGAGCCGCACCAGCATCTGCCTGAATTTCATGTTCTACTTAGTGAGTGTTTGGAGAGGAGAGCACAGGAGGAAAGAAGGAAGGCGAGGACTTGCAGGGACTTCCCTTCAGAAGTTCGTCTGGAAGGTGGAAGCCCAGCCTGCAAGTTGCCTGTGGATTTCCTTAACTCTAGAGAGCTGAGTGTGGCTGGTGAGGTCTCTGCCTGGGTCTTCTGGCCCTGCACTTGACCTCAAGACTGGGTTTTCTTAAAATGATGATTCTCCATGTCACAGCTGACAGTTCTCCAAACGTGCAGAAAGTCAGACTCTCTGGCCATCACCGTTTCCCACCCAGACAACTGCTGCTTTCACGCCTGAAAACTTGAGGCTCCCAGGGGCTCCATCATTCTTCCGGGGTGCTTCTTTATGGGACAGAGGACATTCCCAGCTCTTGGCACTCCCCAGGTGCCTCCTGTCTCCCCTCCCACCTCAGAAGGGGACGCCTGGCAGGGTCTGCTCTGGCCGGTATCCCACCAGCTCAGCTGTCAATCTGCTTCCACCTGAGGATGACCTAGAAGGGCCATATCAGGGCACCCCCATGCCTGGTTGGGAGTTTCCAGGGAAGCGGCTGGAAGAGAGACAGGGGAATCGGGGTTCACTGCCCAGAGGAGGAGATGGTTATGGCCGGCTTGATGCTCCCCTAGTTGTTGCTTCCTGCAAGGCTACCTCCCTCCACCTCCCAGCAGTATCATCTCTCCTCAGCCCTCCTGGCCCCCATGGTCACTGCTCTCAGCCCCAGTCCTGTGGTGCCCCCATGTTGGCCATGAGAAGGTTCCTCCTAAACCTTCTCAGTGCCTGGGAAAGCCCTAGGATGGGCAGGAATTTCCTGAGGCTGCCCCCCCAGACCCTTCAGGTCCCAGTCTGGCCTCTCGGGACTTGATGGCTTCTGGCTTTCCTTCTACCCCTGCTTCACTGACTTGTCCCATGAAATGAAAATGGAAATCAAATTATGCCAAAATATCTCATGCTTGACAAGACTTCCCACTGCCCCTCCTAAGTTAAAAAAAAATCAAGGTCTCCTGCCCTGCCTGGTTTCCGGACACACACCAGATGGGTTATCCCTGGAGTCTGCTCTTGGCCCCGAGCAGTTCCACTATCCCCCAAGTGGCTCCACTGTCCTCCTCTTCCTCCCTCAGGCCAGCACGTCACTAGACTTCACACCCACCGCACTCTGCCAGGCATATGCCCCACCTCAGGGCAGCGCTAGCCCCTCACCTCCAGGGAGAGAATGTCCTTCGGGGTACACCCCTCATTTTTACCCTCTTTCCCTAAGCTGTACTCACATCCTTCCAAGTATTTAATAAATCTGGAATCATGCAGTACTTGGGTTTACTTTTTAAATGACTGTTCAAGCCAGGTCCACAGGGCGTGTGAGGTTTAAATCACAGCCCTCGGGGCTGGAGAGATAGCACAGCAGGTAGGGCATTTGCCTTGCACATGGCCGTCCCGGGTTCGATTCCCAGCATCCCATATGGTCCCCTAAGCACCCGCCAGGAGTAACTCCTGAGTGCAGAGCCAGGAGTAACCCCTGTGCATCGCCAGGTGTGACCCAAAAAGCAAAATAAAATAAAAGAAAATAAATGAAAGAAAATAAATCGCAGCCCTCTCCTCACTGGACACTCAAAGCTCTTTGGTCAATACGGGACTATGGGAGGGGCTTCTGAATAAATAGGACAACACTCCTGGTCTGGCAGGGCTAATATGGCTCTTTCTTTTACGAGTTGTCAACAATCTTACATGGGAACTTGAGGCAACTTTCCCAGATATTGTCGATGCCCTGTGGGTCTGGCCCAGATCTCAGCCGTACTTGCAGGGTGTGGGGTTGGGACCCAGAGACATGAACTCATGGGGAGGCAGAGGCAGCGCTGGAGTGCAAGTGTCTCTGCTCTGATGCTGCTTGGTGGCCACAGACCTCTAGGCAAGTGTCATGACCTCTCCATGCCTCTTTCTTTCCTTTTTTTTTCCAAAAAAAACTATTTTATTATTGAGTCACTGTGAGATAGACCCTTACAAAGCTGTTCATAATTTGGTTTCAGTCATACAGTGTTCCAGCACCCATCCTTCCACCAGTGTACATTTCTCAGCACCAGTGTCCCCATGATCCCTCCCATCACCCCACCCCCACCCCCTGCCTGCCTCTATGGCAGGTGCTTTTCTTCTCTCTCTCTCTCTCTCTCTCTCTCTCTCTCTCTCTCTCTCTCTCTCTCTCTCTCTCTCTCTCTCTCTCTCTCTTTCCTTTTGGGCCTTGTTGTTTGCCATATAGGTACTGAAAGGATCATTTCCTGCTATTATTGTTATCCTGGTCCCTTGTCTATCTTACCTACCCTCCACCCAAAACACACTTGTGGTTGATTCCAACCCATGGCCAGTCCTCCTAGACCCTGTTTTCCCTGGCCGTGGGCATGTCATATATATAAAACAAATGTATGTGGAGAGCCTGGCAAGCTACCAAGAGTATCCTGCCCACACGGCAAAGCCTGTCAAGCTACCGTGACGTATTCTATATGCCAAAAACAGTAACAGGTCTCACAATGGAGATGTTACTGGCGCCCGCTTGAGCAAATCAATGAACAACGGGAGGATAGTGCTACAGTGCTATATATATATATATATATATATATATATATATATACATACACATATAAACATATATGTATCAGTGTATCACTGTCACTGTCACCCTGTTGATTGTCAAATTACTCAAGTGGGTGCCAGTAATATCTCTGTTCCTCCCATCCCTGAGATTTTAGCAGCCTCTTCTTACTCATCTTTTCCCAACGACTGGAGGTTCTTTCAGGGCCAGGAGAATGAGACCTGTTGTCATTACTGTATTTAGCATATTGAATACGCCACGGGGAGTTTGCCAGGCTCTGCCCGTGTGGGCGGGATACTCTTGGTAGCTTGTCGGGCCCTCTGAGAGGCATATATTTATATATTTTTCTCTATGATTTGTTGCCTACTGTCTGAACCCCATCAGATATGGTGTAGTAATTGTGGAAAATGGGTAGGAAGTATCTTATAATGTATTGTGTGGCCACTTTGAGACCGTGCAGTCCGGAAAGTGGACTGGAGCTTGGCGGTGGTTGGGTAGTGGAGGTCAGCTGCCAGGGATGGGTCTCTTGGGATGGGGAGGGCTCTCACCTGCCCCACAGCCTGGTGCGAAGTCCAGTGGCATGGTTATGGGAGCCTCATTTTATACTCCCATCTGGGAGCATCCTGAATTCTGGAGGGTGGCCAATGAGGAGATTATCTGGTGCCGGCAGGGTGTGGCTTATGGGTGTGATCCCTGAGTCACTGGAGACTGGGGGAAGCAGGCAGAGGATTTCTGTTCCAGGGTCTGTTGAGTCCAGAGTCCAAGATCACAAAGTTCCGCATTATCTGGGTTCCTTGGGACTTCATTCATGCATGAGGCTTGGCCTGAGCATCTGGATATATGTATATATGTATATACAGATATATATAAAACAAATGATGGCAGTCATGCGATATGTGTATGACTGAAACCAAATTATGAATAGCTTTGTAAAGGTCTATCTCCCTTTCTTTCTGACTCATTTCACTCAGCATGATACTCTCCAAGTCCATTCATTTATAGGCAACTTTCATGACTTCATTTTTCCTAACAGCTGAGAAGTATTCCATTGTGTAGATATTTCATGCCTCTTTCCTTATCTATCGAGTAAGGATCAGAACAGGATCAACTTCAGAGGATCTTTTGAGAATTTTTTAAATGAATCCTTAGGAAGTTTTTAGCACAGTACCTGGCTTAAATGTAATGTTCAACAAGTGTTAGTGTTATTATTTTATATGTTAATATGGATAATAATAAAATATAGGGAAATAAATGAGATTATTTCTCATGCTTATTATCTAGCGCCTAGAATCAAATCAATAAAATTATCTGAATTTTATAAGCATATACTTATAAAGAAGTAACACTGTTACCAAAAAAGAATTAGAGCATAAATAAAAGACAGGAAGTAAAACTGGATTCTGAAATATTTACTTTAGCATTTGTTATTGATTTTGTTTTTTTTGTTTTGGGGCTACACCCAGCAGTGCTCAGGGCTTACTCCTGTCTCTGTGCTGAGGGGTCACTTCTGGCAAGACTATTTGGGGTTCCAAGGATTGAAGCAGAGTCAGCCACATGCAAAGCAAGCACCCTGCCTGCTGTACTATCATTCTGGCCCCGCATTTGGGATTTTAAAAAATAGATATACATACACATATATAAATATATACATATATACATCAGCTGCACATCACTCAAGATTTCAATGGTGCCCCTGGAGATTTTGGTGGTGATGCCCAAAGCCTGGAAGAAGGAGGTCTTCTCGGGCCCCAGACCTGTATTTTGGGCTGGCACAGTGACCTCACAGGGGGCAATGGCTCCCGCACAGGCAGCAGCTGGCACCTTATTGGCCAGCAGCATGTCCCTGATCTCAGTAAGGTCCTCCTTGGTGAACACAAAGCCCACATTTCCACGGATATGCGGCAGCAACTCCTCCAGCACGGGGTTGTTCTCCAGGTGCCCGCGGATGGCCTTGCGCATCATGGTGTTCTTGCCCATCAGCACCACCGCCTTCCCACGGAGGGGCATGCGGATCTGCTGCATCTGCCTGGAGCCCACATTGTCGGTCCCCACGATGAAGCACCTGGGGTAATCATCCAGAAGTTGGATGATCTTTAGGAAGTAGTTGGACTGGAGCGATAGCACAGCGGGTAGGGCGTTTGCCTTGCACGCAGCCAACATGGCCGGCCCGAGTTCGATTCCTCCACCCCTCTCAGAGAGCCCGGCAAGCTACCGAGAGTATCTCGCCCGCACGGCAGAGCCTGGCAAGCTCCCCGTGACGTATTCGATATGCCAGACACAGTAACAACAAAGTCTCCAATGGAGACGTTACGGGGCCCGCTCGAGCAAATCGATGAACAACGGGAGGACAGTGACAGTGACAGTGACATATATACATATATAAATATACATATACACAAAGCCTAATGTCACTTGTAAAACACATCAGAGAATTCTAGCAATTTTCTGTGGAACCATGCAAATAAGAGTACTTTTTAATTAGGTGCATGTCTAGATAGAAATTAAGTGCCATGAGTTAGCTGGCACCATATAGGATTTGCCCCATCCCCACCCCCTGAGCAAACAATTTGCAAAAATTTGCTCTAACACACGTGAATACCATGGCCTAAGCTATCAGCTGTAAGGATATTCTAGTCTGCAGGGGTTCATCTTCATTCTCTTTACAAGTATTTGAGGGTCCTGCTGTGTTTCCTTGGAACCAAACCCTTACGGCTTAGAAGGACTTAATTCCATGTGGAAAAAAAGAATGAGATTATCACTAAACAATCACATCATTTGCATAAATATCAACATGTCATTTGGTCATCTTGTTTTCGTTTACAACCACCTTTGCCGTAATAAAAATTTAAATTGGTATTGGGAGAGCATGAGAGAGGAAAACAAAACACACACACACACACGCACACATACTCACACACACACACACACACACACACATACACACAACCTGACAAACCTGACAAACATCACAGAATCCAAATTCAACAAGCGGACGTGGCCTAACCCTAATGCTGTCACAACAGACTGTCTCCTTCCTTCCTCCCTTCCCTTTCCTTCCTTCTCTGTTTCCTTTCTTCTCACCTATCCAACCTTTTCTAGTCCATCAACAGCATCTGGTGTCGGTCGGTACAAATGCCCCCAGCTCTCCTAGCTCCAAAGGACAAGAGGGCAATTTTGAGAGAATCCAATGACATGATTCTTTCAGGGTTTAGAATGCCCTGCACAAGAACTTGCCTCATTTTCAAATGTTACTTCCTAGGCCAGACTTATCATTCATGCACAATACAGAGCCCTGCACCTCTCATGAGCCCTCCCTGGAAATGCAGAGACGAAGTAGGCCCAGCTGCTGTCTGGCCTCCAGGACTGGGCAGCTTCACGGGAGAGTCTGGGATTGAGGTGTATCATTCTGGCCCCATTCTACACCCTGGCTCCAGCGTGCCCGCCGGTTCCATTCCTGTGTCCACAATTGTGGCGACTCAAGAGTCCTCCCTCCCTGGGCAGTCACCACCAGCACAAAGGCTGCCTCTTCTGACGGCACAGGATGCCCCGCTAGCCACAGGAATCCCAGGCATCTCCTCATTCCCGGCAGATCTCAAGGAAGATACTCAGTGCTGGAAGGTTTTGTTCCCTCGGTGGATCACAACACACATATCCTAACTTTCCACTGCAGGAATGACCTTGGGGCAGTGCGTATCCCCTGGCCTTCTCTTCCTCTCCTCCTAAAAATACCTCAAGCATCTGAACTGCAATGAATTAAAACCACATCTGCACTCACATGTCTCGGTGCTTTCTCTTAAACAGGAACGGCCAGGTTGGAGGACGCAGCCTCTGAGGCCCACCTCTCTTCATCCCCCGGACTCCAGCAAAAAGCCCCCTTGTCTGGCTCACCAGACGCCACCGTCTGTCTCGATCCTGGTTCCCCCACTTGAAAACTACATCCCCAGGCTTCAGCCCCAGACGGTTCTGCCCCTATTTTCTTTTCTACCAATTGTATCTGAAGGACATCTGGGATGTTTACTCAGTTTTTGAGAAATTGTGAGGATGTCTACGGCTGAAACATTTGCACGTTAAAAGGAAACTTAGGACACGTTCTCACATAGCTCTGACTGTGCGACAGATTTGATTCCCCAAACTAGACACCCCAAACTAGACCTAATACTAGTATTGCGGCACCTCATTTTACAGGAAATGAACACAAGGCCCCAAGAGATACTTTTACTTGCTCACATCATCTAATTAATAAGCCACTGAGGCTGGGACTCCTCGGGTCTCAGCAGTCTGACCCTGCAGTGCCACCAAGCAGAAAGGGAAGGTACTTCAGTGGCCCCCTCAATGCAGGGCCAGTTCTGAGAATACCCTGAAGGCCTGTCGATAAAGCAAACCCACGCGGGTTGACTGAGTTCACACGGAGTCGCCTGCAGGAAGGGCAGGCGGGTCTATGAGAAGGGAGAGGAGATGTCTGCCCTTGAGAGAAGCTATTTTAAGTTTTGGTTGTTTTTTAAATAACACTGACCAGACCAGGGCCTGGATTTCAAGATCTGCTGTCAAGGTATCCAGACACCGGCGTCACCTGCAGGGGGAAGCAAATCGGCCTGCCCCTGTGTTGTCTCCTGGGCCACAGTGTCCAGCTTTCACACCCAGCAGCCAAAAAAGTGAACTTCCCAAATCTCATATCCGGTATCATTTGTCCAGGGGCTCTGCACAGTTGTGAAAGGAGATGATGTCATGTTCTGGGGTTCACACAGTGACAGTTCCTTCAATTTAACAATAACTGAACTAAATTTTTTTTTTTAAAAAAAAAGAGGTCAAAGAGATAGTACAAGTAAAGCATTTGCCTTGCACGTAGCCAGTCCAAGCTTGAATCCCCAGCGCTATGAATGGTCTCCTGAGCTCCACCATGAGTGATCCCCAAGGCCAGAGTCAGGCAGGAGTAAGCCCTGAGCACCACCAGGTATGGCCAAAACCAACCAACAAAAAGTGAATCAATTATTTTTCAACAGGAAACTCAGAAACTTGCCTTTTTGTCTTAAGCTTCACTTCTGAGACACACTGATGTTTCCAAGCCCCTCAAATGCCAGCCCCTTTGGAGAGAGAAATTGGGTGCAATCAAGCCCTGCCACAGAGGATGATTGTGAAGACAATGATGCCAATGATGACCAAGAGGATCAGTGCAAGAAAGACCATGAGAGTGAGTATCAGGCTGGGCAGAGCTGCCTCCCACATGAACTCAGTCATCCTTACATGTGTTCTAATGGGTGCTCTGAGAGAGGTTGAGTAGCAGGGTCAAGGTGGCATGGCCAGGATCATGCTATGGGCTAATTTAACTTCATAATTTCACATTCTTTTTGAATCTCCATTGTCTCTTCTTAAAATTATTGAAATTCTGGAGGCAAGATATGTCAAATTTTCTGCTATATATGTAAGAAATCACTTCCAAATATTTACTTGAAAACCATTTCCAAAGCAGTCACTATCCTTTCTCCACAGTATGATAACTTAGCCAAGTCTCAATTTATTAACAGACACATGAGGACTAGCTCCTAACTGTCAGAGCTACTAGGTTTCAAGCAGATCTTTTGGATGTCAGTATAAAAGCTGAAGATAAATATAGAGGCCAGAATGTACCTCATTTGTGGCCCAGAATGTAGTGATATTTGAATGTGTAAGAAAACCCCAACACCATAAAAAAGCAAGAAGATATAAATATATAGCACTGTAACACTGTCCTCCCATTGTTCATCGATTTGCTCAAGTGGGCCCAGTAATGTCTCCATGGTGAGACTTGTTACTGTGTTTTGGCATATCATATATACTAGTATCTGTTAAAAATAAATACCTACTACATATGTACATATAAGAAATATCTTCTTTCACATATATATGCAAAGTCATTATTGCATGTAGCATGTTATTATAAAATTATTATATATTTATTCATAATACCTTATTTTTGTCATTTATGTCATTTTTAATATCCCACTTTCAGAGAATATTCAGAAACAAGAGCAAGGAAAATGCATTTTACTTGCATCTTTCTGATAAAACTCCATTGAAAGTACTTTGCTTGATAAGTACAAGTTCCACTGCAATGGACAGCACCAAGGCTGTCCACCACGATGTATTCAGAGCACCAAGAGGAACTGGGGAACAGCAACCCTACAAACAACAAAACCCAGCTATTCTTTCTGGGGAAGAAAATGACTGTCCCCCTCATCCACTTTCCCCTCAGGGACAGCCAGTATATTTTTATCTTGTGGCTCAATGTTTTTGCAGACACTTAAAATTACAAAAATCCAAGAAACCGTATCTTGCCCCCAAACCACACGGTGTATTTTAAGGACTGTGTTCCTTTTCTAGGAAACTGCGTGATTTGCAGGAAGTGGCAAAGCAGCAGGTGTGTCCCCATGATCGGCCAAGAAAACCAAATAAAAGCTCCACCAGACAAACCTGTTTCTCTCCGATGAACAACTGTCTACAACCAGCATCGGGGAAGGGGGGTGGGGGTGGAGGGGAGAGGAGGAGCCAGGGCTGCCCCTCAGGGAAGTGTCTGTGGAAGCAGAAAGTGTGTGCCACCTGGCACATGATTCCCGCACCAGCCCAGCCCAGGGATGCTCAAATTGATGCATGACACACGAGGCTGGGGAAGAACTCAGGGGTGCATGATTTATGCACACAAGGACACTGAGCTCGAGCCCCAGCACTGCCGGGCACAGTCACCACCCGCCCAGGCACCATGCATCTGCAGAAGCATCAGACCCTCGAGTCCGGCCAGCTGGGGAGTTTTGGAGTAGTCCCAACACCTCTGCTTGGGAGCTGCCCCACCCACCCCCAAAATAATAAAAGATAAAAAGGGAAACACTGGCAAGGAGGGCCAGAGGGTACTGCAAGGTAAGGCTGGGCCAGTGTCTCAGGGTCCCAACACCCCGCAGGGAGAGCACACCTGGTACCCTGAGCTATGAAGACAAGACCTGGGGCGTTTCAGAAGGATGCTGAGTCCTTCCCCGGGGCTGCGTGTAGGTCCCTTGCGGGGCCCCAGCAGCCCAGGAGAAAGGCAGCACTCCCACCCCGACCTCCCAGGGTGGCATGCTCCCAAAAGTGCTGGGAGGCCA